TTTCCGAACATCATCCAACATGGTTAAGCAAAGGACAAACGAGATCTATTCGTAGCTCTATCTTAGCACACCTTGTAGATAGTGAGCATAAGGTTGACGTTAATACTGCATTTAAAATTATTTATCGCATTCCTACTAATCTTAATTTTGCTCTACAAGTTCGTCTTCTACAGGCAGCTGAAGAAATAGGAATCCACCTGAAGAAGCCAAACCTGTGTGTTCAGAAGAAATTTGTACACCCGCTTTCCTTGTCTTGGCCATCGTTGCATGAATGTATAAAACGGACTACCTCGGTCCCCTCCCCCTAAACCTTTAAAATGATAAAAATTATAACTGTCCAAATTATTTTATTTTTTCTGACCACTTCATCTTTAATTACGTGTTATCCTTGTAAGATTAATTTATTCTAACCATTTCTACCTTTTAAATGTGTTTTGATTTCCTTCGTTAATTATCAACCCGTTGACATTTTGACACTGACTAATTACTGTTATATTAGAGTAGAGCCAGAGATGAGGATCTAATTGAAAAGTAAATATTTCTTCGCTCAATCTTTCTGTTTTCTAAATTTCAACTCTTTGTAATATTTATGAGTTGAATAAAACTATCGGGCTTGCTGCTGAGTATGTCAAAATGTCAATGAAATTATGATACATTTCACAATGTTATCATAATTACTACTGTTGAATACGAAAATTACTTTGTTTTTGTCGCTTAACAAATATCTTCATTGATATATTCTTTTCCCTGAAGGAAATGCAGAAGTTCACTAAAGATAAAAAAGTAACGAAATGTTCTTAGAAAACAATTTTCTTTGTGGATTAAAACACTTTAATATGAATATAAAACAGAAATATTGTTTTGAAACCAAAAACATCAGATGGTGTTTAAACAAGTCAAAATGGTTTCTGTTTTTCAAGTAAAAAGTTCAACACTATGATATATTGAAAGCAACTCAATTCCAGATAAAAGTGAAAGATTTACATGTGAAAGACAAATGGTTTTTTTCTCATTTTCACGATATGAGATAACTAGTCGTCATAAAGCCTAATCCCTGTTAATCTTTTGGATAGTCACAAATTATCATACATACTCCTGTAGACTTGTAAACGCGCTGAACATATTCAACATGTTATAAAGCTTTCCAAACATACATTTATATTAAAAAGAGTCCTCCCTAACGGTTTTGCAGCATTCTAAACAGTCTTAGTTACCTGTTTTAAGATGCCACAAGACAAATCTGTTACACAAAATACTTGTATCAATTTCATTACATTTTCAGTGGCTGAGGGTATTGACGTCCACGTGCCAGACGATTAATACCAACACAAGATCCAATACCCACAACTTAGTATAGTATTTGTTCCGCATAGACTAAAGGCAAAGTAGAACACCATAATTGATCGGCCAAATTACGACTTATATTTCGGGACTAAATTGGAGTGCCAGATGATTACTTAACTAGCTAGAGACCATGCACAAACAAACGAACGTAACACGACGGAGTGCCAAATGGCGTGAATGCTTAACCGAAAGCCTTCAGCTAAACAAGTCGATTTAAACAGCGAGGGTCAGCATCCAGTGTACACTGATGAATGCTGCGGCTTATAATTCTGGGGAATTACCTACTGCTACACATTCAGGTCGCGATTGCAGAAATTTTTTCGAATATTATGCTTATGAAGTAATAAGTCAGTAAACAGAAATCTCACAAGGTCACACTTCCCGTAACAGTAAAGTAAATAGACTGTTATTTTGGTTGATGGTGGCTGGCAGTAGAATCCAGTTTTAAAATTACAGAGAAGATTTGCAGCCTAGATGGGGGATTTTGATGTGGTTGCATTCTGTGAGTTAGTCGTCAGAAGTTTTGAATTATATCATTCATTGGGAACTGGAATAAGTTCACTTCACATTAAAATCTGCTCTGAGGATATTGTCCAAAAGAATGATGAGAGGTCAAATAACGCAAGCATATACTGGAATCCAATTTGCATTTTTGTAGTACAACAATTTGAACAGCTTCACTTTTGTGCAAAGCTAGACGTTGAAAACTCAGGCATTCAGTCGACTTATTTTGTTTTAGAATACTATCTCAGAGTGTCTATCATAATTTGAAAGTAACGAATATAACCTTAAAAGGGACTGACTCGAGTTCGAACGGGGATAAATAGTAAGGAAAGCAAACATTCTGTTTTGGAATGATGCAATTATGCAACGTGGATGATAGAAGATTTAGAGAACACAATAACGAAACTAGGCTGCACAACATACACTGAACTTACAAGATCAACTAGCACAGTGAATATTCGACAAATGGTGCTGAATACTGTGGTTCAGTCTAATTATTTAGATAGAAACCCATTACACTGGCGATCGATAATTTATCTTCAAGGTGTCGACAACGGCACATGTCAAGTGATCCATAATGGAAAACTCAGCGAGGCGTTTAGAGTAAACACAGGAGTAAGACTAGGGTGCTTGCTTATTATCACCAATCATATTCCTAATTGTGGTGGACTGACTAGATTATGTGTCAGATAGTGGGAAACGAGAAGACAGGGATATCCTGAACCTACCGACGTGAAGAACCTAGAAGACATGGATTTCGCGCGTGGATGATTTCCGTTTGATGTCAAACAAGATCGAAGACTTACAAGCGAAAACTGACAAACTGGTCGAAGAAGCAGACAGTGAAGACAGAAGTCCAGGTGAACATAGACAAGACGGAGGTTATGTAAATAACCAACAACAACAACAGCAGCATCCAGCGCCAATCACCATCAACTGGAGGGATTTGAAAGAGGTTACTTCATTCACTCACTGATCTAGGGAGCATTGTCTTAACTAGAAGAGGAACAGACAAGGGGTCAAATCGAGAATCGGGAAAGCGAGAAACACATTCATCAACCTAAAACCAATCTGGAAATCTTCGTCACTCAGCCAGCATCAACAACAAAATTCGGTCGGATTTTCAATACAAACGTCAAGTCAGTCAGCTCTTCTATACGGATCAGAAACTTGGTGGGCGATTCACAATGAGTATTTCCAACAGCCTGTTGCAGACTTCCGTTCTATACTGAAGATCTGTTTGCCGGACCGGAAAGATTCACCAAAAAGTAACTTTGGGAAGTAACAAAACAGGAACCAATCGCCCAACAAACATACAGGAGAAATTGTAGATGCATTGCGAACTCGCTGAGGAGGCCGCTGGGTTTTCGAATGCTAGCCAATAAAAATAGCAGATATTAATTCTAGGCGTTTTGCAATCCTCTGACATTACTTCTATTTCCTCCCTTCTGTGCACTTACAATATTACAGTTCGAGTGGTGTGTGCATTTGGGGATTAATATGAAGGAGTGCATGTCGTGACATCCTGACTAGTGATCTCTTATCACTGGATATGAAGACGAAGGCAATGTCTGCATTGACGAACACTCTTGGTGCAATTTATCTTATAGATGAATCACTCAGTGGTGAATGGAATGCTCTTAAGTGTGCGAATTTATGACAACTGGCATATCTAGTGTTATGAGTTTCACTGCATACAGCATTCATCCGACATTGGTATATTTGATTTGAATTAAAAGTGTAATATATGAATGGTCGTGAAATGTGAGAAATACAGCCGACGGATTGTTCCTATATTTATGAGATATGCAGACAAACCAGGTATAACGAGGAGAAGGAAGTTCGTAGTTTTGATGAACCATCTTGTGACTTGATAATACTTCTCCAGCTTGCAATATTAGTAAACTGACAGGTCAGAATAATTATTCACTTTCTGTGATGAGCTGTAAGCATTCTTACATCCTCACGTCTAATGTGTGTTCATTTCATTAGACGGTGAGTGATATGGGCTTGTTTATTTGACTACTAATCTAGTATACATATGCATGTGATCGCCTAGTTCATTAACTTCTGCTGCTGCTTCGCATTCAGCTGATGTTAACCAACTGCGCCTTTGTTATTGTTGTATGCATGAGTTCGATTGATGAATATATGGACAATATGAACACTGCTGTGTTTTAGAAGCTATTTGACACTTGACAGTTTGTCTGATGCGACATCACTACTGCTATCCTTCTCGCATATTCGTCATCCTGTTCACAATTCGTTGTCAGTACACAGAGCGTAAATTAATTTGTTTATCGAATCAACTGCAAATACATGTAATAGAAATGATTCAACACCTGTCCCAGATATATGGAAAATTCTACTACCATTACGACAAATAGGAGAAGACAAAGAAAACTATAAAACTCAAATTTCAAAGTCGTGTGATCAAAATTGATATGATTATGAACAATAAATTGTGTTCGAAACGTCATCCAGTAAATAATACTGTTTCACTGTGTGATACATCTAATAAACAAACTAATATGGAATTACTTACTTCCACAGTGCTCAAGTTTTACACATATCATAATAGAGTAAAGTACATGTTGATTAAACTACCAAACGGTATATTTCTTTTTCCATGATTTCCAGTTACTTTTGAAGAGCCAGTCAACACATGGGTATCAGTGATACGACAGTCCCCTGAAAAGAAAGCATCAGCCTGGTCATCCATGTGTGGATCAATGTATGATATTTGGAGGAAACTAGAAGGCTTGGGAAACGTGAATAATTCATAACGATATTGACAATGAAATATTTGACTTTCCCCATAGACTACTGACTGATTAATATGAGTAGCTGGAAAGTATTCACTTCAAACAGTGGTCCTCTCCACTGAGATTGAAGTCATATACAAGCTGGACGTCAGTCTCGCTCGCTTCACTCCGACTTCATCAGTGGTTGAAATGTACTAGGTTTGACTCAAGTCAGATACCCGGAGTGTTTCAATCCATCCAAATTCCTGTTGTCTCCCTTGGTGAACTGTTATTACACAGAACCGAGTTCGTCGACTGTAAAGTACACAGTTGAGGTGAGAAATCACGATAGTTTCGTGTGAAATTCCTACAGAATACCGGTAGACTGTGCAAAGCATTTTCAATTCTCAATAAACTCATACATAACAAGTGCATTTTAAATAACTAGATCACAACACCTCATAGTGAATTTCTATTCTCTCATATACACTGCAAATATGGAGAAGGAAAATTATTTTCGGAAGTTGATGAGTGGATATTACAACATTTCAATTAAAAATAACTATCCGTCATGCACTGACTTTCAATGTTATTGGGATTTACCTTTGCTCTGATGCATATAACTCTTTCATATTTCGGTTTATCCACTCACAGACACTATTTCCTTGATGACATACACATAGGAATTTCAATACTAAATGAGTTGATGTTGAGTTGTTATCTTTAGACGACAATATTCCTTATAACTTTGAACACGTCAGACGTTAAGAAAGAAGACGGCCAAATGGAAAGCTAGCACTCTCAATAATACAAATGTGGCTAAAATTGAAAGCAAATTGACTATTATTACTATTGATTTAAGTTTATTTAATGAAATTGAGTAACAACATTATCTAAACATTGAAAAGAAAGGAAAGTTTCATCGCCCACATTCCGTGTTCCACCAGTCCATTACTTCCCATCCAGCAATATAAGCTTTCTGTGATCGTAGTTGTGGTCAATTGGTACAGGTTTGCACAAATTGGTCTTGACGTCTGCAAAAAAGAATTGATATGTACATACATTCATTTATTCAGTGATTGATATCACTTGGAAATGTAAGATGTTCATTTATTCTGTATAGTGAACAGAAACAACAATCTCAGTGTGTATTGTATTCATGTGGAGTTAATGGGAATTAGTTATACGATGTGACTTGGAACACGGCTTCCGAAAGTAGTGGAGTGAATCGGTGTTCCGCTGAATATATCTACATATCTACATGATATTAAAACAAACAGATGTGAATATCAGAGATATGAGAATAGTTAGCTGGATGTGATTGGGAATTATGAGAAATTTTTGAGATTAATGGAGCTGAATACTTGTACACCGTTTTCTCTCCTTTTTCATTATCTTTTCGTGCAGTATCATTTAACAGCCAGCAGTAGAACTATGAGAGACTGATTTCTGCGTCCATTGAATGGTCAAACGTAACATTTGATATCATCACAACTCTCCTTCAGACCCCTAATACAAAAACAACTACGTGAAGAAATCCAAGTTGTGGTAGACCACCAACCTCCTGCCAAAACAAGCACGCTGAAACGAAAGCATGACAAGTTTGATTTGTGATGGTGAAGATCCTCACGCTAACATTCTGTTCACAAGCGCTGGTAACGTTTACGCTTTCAATACAATCAGTGTGCATGCATTGGTCACACAATGTTTGAAACCAGCCTTCTAATTAATCTACTCCGCTGCATTCCAAGAAAAGACTACGCTTCTCACTGACACAAATTACACATCGACACAGAGCATTTCCTGTTTCACACTATGTGATAAAAATCAGCTTGATGCAGTAACACTCGGCCACGCACACAACAATCACATTGATAGAATAAATATCCATACATATCACGATGTTGGTTTCGCATTCAGGAGTAACTTCTCGAAATGTTTTCGTGAAGATTCAACGCATTTATCATGTAAGACTCAGATGACATCTGCGTGGACCGACTATTCCTTGTTTAGGTATTTCTACTGTCAAACACATATATTTCTTTGAAATGACACAGTGACAATGTTCGTCGACCACACAGCTTTTATTCGTCGAAATGATTCTTATTCTCTTATTTTCGACGTCAAACGACGAGTGGAATTGGACTGGAGCATACAAAACAGTTTCTTGTAGATTACAAGTGTTTTGTGAAATTCGATCTTTCAGTAAATAACAGAAAAGCTAAATATGAATTGAATGCATAGCAGTGCTCGTGATCCCTTGAAGATTAGATTGAGCAGCCAGTGGAATATGTGGTTGCTCACTACAGTCACTAATTCTCGTCAAAATATAACTCACAGATTCATTCACTCACCCATCACACTCCGTTTATAAGAAGCCAATTCTGTAAGCGAAAATAAGAGGACAGTTGAACATTTGATACGGAATTCGAAAGTGAGAAGTATATCTGGAGTCGATGTCAAACATACGAGAAGTAACCAACTTAATGATTCTTTCCGCCATTTCATAATGTATACAATCGCCTTTTTAGAGTCAAGTGAAATGAAATAAGACAATGTTAAGTATCAATTTTAGGCGATTTACGTTACTGACGAATCGTCATTCTGAGAATTTCCTCATGGATAACCTGTAGAAGCTGCATAAATGACGAGTTTCAAAATATCGTAATCCTTTTCATCTAGAGTTGAATCCTCCAGCCTAATGATTACTGCTGAAATTTTGGTTCTTATAAACCTCTCTCTTCCTCTCACGTGTGATCTTCTGATGAATGGAATGAGCGAAAAGTGCACATTTTGTCGAACCTAAAACACCTGCAAATCCACCTTATTTCTTCCAAATTATAAATGCTGCAGTAGTATCCGTTTTGACTCAGAATAAAGTCATATGAATTAAATTGAATAAAAACATGAGTAAAACTCTCCTTCAAACAAAGTGACTCTAGATTCGCACTGCTGGCTGTGTATTGAAATCTTTTACAACACTAGCTATCATGGAGAAGTTCAGCTGTGAACTCTATCTGTGGCCCTATCTTCACACATTATTGTCTGTTTTCGATAGCAGATCAGTTGCATCTGTCACAGTGTCCAACAAAACAAGGATCACTGTCAGTTTGAAGAGTAATTCCGAGAGATGAAGAGTTGACTTGTTTATTTCTAAGGCGAGACAACAGTATTCTCAGTGTAGTATTCACTTCCATTCTGAAAGTCCACATATGTCTAGTATGACTATAGACGAACAACTGTAGCTGAGAGTAAGACGTTTCCCACACATTCGATTTGATGTCTTCACAATGATCAAGCATACTCCACCTCTCACAGCCCTCATGGCCTGTGTACACACTAGGCTACTTTATTATTTATATAAGAAGGAATTTTACGCAAGTGTTAGCAAAATCCTTACTGGAAAGCAATTCTTCGACTACTTCCTGGAGAGCCTCCGTCTTACATTTATAACTGTCTGGTTGATCGATGGCAGCCAGTCACACCTGTCACATTAGCATTCAATCACATAATACAAGTGTCATATAAAATGTGACCATTCATCACAAAATTATAAAACTAACCGTTATCAGGAAATGCTTGGAAAATGAAAATGAAATTAGAAAGCATTAATTACTTAGATGACGATAAGTGAATTCAAAATAATCTGTACAGTCAATTCTCCTTGGAGGAGCTTGTGATGATACATTGACAATAAAACAGAGAAATCAACCTATGATTAAGCTGAAGCATGCAATCTGATATTCTTAAAATAGTTTTAATATAACCCCCATTTGCTAATGTCGATCATGTTTGAACGTTCCTCCTGTTTCCCGTCTGTCTTCACTTCGTCATCTTCACGAGGTTATCAGTTCTACACAAATTGCAGATTGTAGCACAATCTCCACGTGTCCGTTACTGAGCGTGTATGCGGTTTGTTGACTGAAATCTACTATGCTGCACACATTAGACTTGCAATTCCAGGATTTAGATGTTACAAAAAAGTAATCAATGCTTATTGTACACCAGTAATTTTGAATCTTAGATGAAATAGAACAAGATTTTATCAACTCACCTATCAGTACATCCGAAACTAAAATGTTTGAAACAAACAATTGCAAAGATAACTTTCATTCACTGTGCACAAAAGAATGAGTTAATTTTGAATCATGATTTTCTAGGCACAAAAATCCACTTGAAGTCATAGATGTTATGCATACAGCTATCATTGTTTTAGTAAGTCAACTAAGTGAAACTCCAACACTGTTGCTTAGTGATTGAAGAAGTGGATAGAAAATTTCTTCTTTTCACTACTTAAATGAGGAAAACATCTTCACTATTCTCAGTGCACAAGAATCGCATGTATATATATATATATATCCTATGCAGAAAGTCAAGTAACAAAACATTTTTGTTTGGTTGATCCAGCTGTGTATCATACAGAATGAGCATCTGGGTGTCAAATCTTCGCTCAACAATGAGGATGAAGACCAGATTATCTGGCAATTCAAACTCATGGATAACGTTTCATAGAGCATTTTATTCGTTTTCTATAAGTAACAGCACCTAGATGCAATGACATTCACTATGAATTATTAACTTCTACAAAGATACTTGATGAATGTGTTATCTGAAGGGTTAGGAATGATTAGCCGATAACCTCCACTGGCACTTATTAAATACAGGAGAAGGTGGAGTCAGTCTTGCCAGCGTTTCTTCTGGAAAAACAAATTTCAGTCGCCTGAATACATATGGAGCCAATGTTTTATGTAAGATATCAGATAAAAACTCACCTTCTATCTTCTGTGAAAGCCCATCGGATATTTCACTATCCAGTAGATACTTGGTGAACATTCCCAAAACATCAACCACCGACAATTTTTTATTGAGTAGTCGCAATCTACCAACGGGTATATGATACTCAGCAGAAACACGAACAGCACCGTCTGGATGTAGGTCATCAAATATGTCTGTCCAACAGTATTCGGAACCGAATGGAACTTTGGGTACAATGCGGGCAAAAAGTTGTCCAATCTGTAAATACGAAATAGTGATTAGTTTCTCTGACAGCCGGTGTTAAGATTTAGCGTTAATTAAGTGGAAAGATATATCTGTCAACGACTCAATCCTCAGGTCACATTGTGGCAAAAGTAGGAACTAATTAATAGCTTTATAAATCCTGTGTATACTAAAACAAACACATAACCAGAGAAAAGAATCCTTGAAGAAATCAGCATAAGTCACCGCATAAATAATAAAACGCACAGAAAGATGTAAATTCTAGTTTACTTACCGCATTACATATTTTTGGCTTCATTTTCGTTAAAACCTCATGTCTTAGTACCAAGTACCAACGCTGGTAACACTTTCTATTCTTCAAATACCCCAGAATTTTCACTTTGATCACATTTTCCAGATCCTCCTCTAAAAAAGTGTTAACTTTTAAATCAAGCGTCAAAATGAAAAGCTAACACATATTGAAAAACACGACTTAGTTCATACAACAGATCATTAAGTTGATCATCGTGACTGTTGTTTGCAAGGTGGTTTTCTGTTGCCTCCTACGGTAGGTTTGACATTAACACATCACCCACTCATGTTAATGATCAGTTGTATCTTCACTGACACTATCAGACTAGAGTGATAAACAGATCATAAATTTCGTGAAACCAGTCAGACACAGATGATTATTCCTTAAGTCAGTATAATCAGGACAAGGCTGTAGTTAGGTACGCGTGTACCTCGACCACTTCGTATACATATTCAGTCTGCTGAGACAATTATTATTAAAATCATTATGATAATTTGTAGTAGTATAGTCATCTTGAATCTGGAGGTGAAAAGATTCACATCTTGTTCGCCTTGAAGCTGCTTACCTGCAGACATATAATTAAATAAGTTTGACAATTTGGCGATTAATCAAATTCCATATATTCAGGTAAGAAAAATATTAAAGCACAACCTTAATCATTTAGTATGTGTTCTAGTCAAAAGACAGACAGAAGGAGAAGCAGCTGTTCGAGTGAGTTTTGCCATAATCATCTATCCAGTCATTTATTTGTCTGGTTATAACAGCCTAGATTGAAGTTTGCAGTAGGCCAAGGGAATTGAACGGCCCATCAACCAAGATGCAACGCAAATGTCACATAAAATATGATGAGACATCTCATATTAATATGGCACTAACCGTATGGAGGAGATTCTTAAAGAATAAAAGTGAAATAAGAAAGCAATAGTGAATTCAGTAAGTTTATTGTACTATCAGTTTAATGAATTGACGATCAACAAAGTCTAGAAAACACCACAAAATCAATTCTCTATTGTGTTCGTAAGGATTCGAGCGGTTCTACTGATCATACCATGGGCCGACATCAAATAGAAGAACTCCTGAAAGTGGAGCAGCCGTAGTTAACTGTTTGAGATGGTGTGGGCTAACGACCCGATGAAGGATCAAACAAAGCACTGTCGTTTCAGAAAGCGAGGATGATAGAATTGAACTACTTGGAAGGATTTCGGTTGATCACAATTTAAAAATTCTGAGAGATCATCATTCGGTGGCAACACTATCTGATACTATGTGGTAGTACAGTCATCATTGTCAGACAGACAAGGTGTATCAATCTTAACATTCGATGAAAAAATTCAGAATGTTCCATTCAGTGCCAAGTGCTTATAACTATAGTGTTAAATTTTAGTTGTCGGAAAATGGCGGAATTCGGAAATCTCTAGCCGGTGACATCTCAATCATATGCCGAATGGTATCACTCGTATAGATATCCAGTACTGGTGGTCTGAAGCCATTGTATAATATCGCATGAGATGAACAAATGCGTATTTTGGTGATATTGGCCAGCAAAAGATGTCATTACCATGAGACTGTCACGTTGGTTGTAAGCTTGAAACACAAACAGGAAAGAATTCAACAATCTTTGATTCAACAAGCAAATCAAAAAAGCGTTCAGGACACTGCTACAATAAACGCATCTCGGTCATGATGAAAGCAGTCTAACACGCTAGAAACTTTCAACTGTCAGATGAGATACAAATATATGTTCGCTAAAGTCAGCCATCTACTTGGAACACATTGTTCTCACTGATTGTCATCAAAGTGAATTTAAAAATGGTGAAGTGAATCAGCACAAAAGACGATTAAAACACTTGTAGAAAGCTTACCTGAGTAAACAACTGCAAACAAAACTGCAAAATATAAGAATGAGATGTAGATGTTCATTCTGAAACTTTTGCTGTAATTGAATTCAATGGAAATCTAAGTCCTCACTGGGTATATATACTAGACTTAGGAATGTGCCTCCCCATCGCTAAGCATGGAAAACAAAAGCACTACTAAATATTTCTATCGTGTTTGTGTGAGATTCAGAATTAAAGCGGAATACCTAAAGTATGAATAGCAATAGTTGCAAAAATAACTCACTAATTAGGCCCCTGAATTAGAATAAAACCCTCTGTGTCAAAGAGAATTATGATAAAATAATATAGATAACAAATAAAAGTTAACACTAGAAATATGATATTCTAATTAACAAAAGGAGTGTAGCAAACAACGGATGACAGAGTGAAAGTTTTAGGTCAACAGACACACACACACACACACACAATAGAGTAAAGTACCTAACAAAAAGTTAAAAATTATGAAAATGTTGGTAGAGTTAGTTATTTCCACTGCTGCGACTAAAAGTGCTTCCAGGATGGTTATACTAGTCCTAAGTAAATCACCTTCACTCCATCTATCCGACTTATTGTATTTACACTATTAGATATTTGCTGGATGTGAAAGGTACTGGTGGTGCTGTTGATAGGATACAGTCCGCCAGCCCTTACTAAAACCAATTTATCTGTGTACCCAACGGATCAGTACTCTATCTAACCTGTAAGTACAAACGACAAAGCATAAATATAAAGAATTAGTTAATTAGAGACATGCTCTGCCTAGCAGTATCTTTGAGTAAAATAAAAGGTCGGGATTGTACATGGGAAAGAATATAGAATTTATCCGACGAATATGGTTGTGTTACAAACTGAAAGTATGTGAGTGAGGGCAGCACAAGGGAAAAGAGCAAAATGGCGTTGGAGCGAATCCGAATAGGTACACGTTAAAACAAAGTACTAAATATCAAGAATTGCGATCCGAATGTTCTGTAAACTGATGGTAAGAAGGAAAAGAACATAAGTCGTTTGAAGCTATCCTAATATCCTATCCTTCAATGAACTACCCTGCACTCTTCACCTTCACTCGATATTCATTTGTATTTCAAATTTTCCTGAGAGGGTAAGGTGGTTTATTAATTAGAATAGTTTTTCAAAGGGAATGTAGTTACACTTGTGTAAAATTCCTTCTTATATAAATAACAAAGTGGCCTAGTGTGTACACAGGCCATGAGGGCTATGAGAGGTGGAGTATGCTTGATCACTGTGAATACATCAAATCGAATGTGTGGGAAACGTCTTACTGTCAGCTACAGTTGTTCGTCTATAGTCATACTAGACATATGTGGACTTTGAGAATGGAAATGAATACTAAACTTAGAATATTGTTTTCTTGCCTTGATACACATATGGATCAACAGGCTGATTGTTTATTTTCAGCTGACTGTCGTATCACTGAAACCCATGTGTTCACTAGCTGATTTGCACAAGTAACTAGGATTCATACATATGGATATACACGGATTTGCAGTTGAATAAACAAGTAATTTGCTGACAACGAATTGTGAGTTCTCCTCGTTATACCTGCTTTGTCTGCATATCTCATAAATATAGGAACAATCCGTCGGCTGTATTTCTCACATTTCACGACCATTCATATATTACACTTTTAATTCAAATCAAATATACCAATGTCGGATGAATGCTGTATGCAGTGAAACTCATAACACTAGATATGCCAGTTGTCATAAATTCGCACACTTAAGAGCATTCCATTCACCACTGAGTGATTCATCTATAAGATAAATTGCACCAAGAGTGTTCGTCAATGCAGACATTGCCTTCGTCTTCATATCCAGTGATAAGAGATCACTAGTCAGGATGTCACGACATGCACTCCTTCATATTAATCCCCAAATGCACACACCACTCGAACTGTAATATTGTAAGTGCACAGAAGGGAGGAAATAGAAGTAATGTCAGAGGATTGCAAAACGCCTAGAATTAATATCTGCTATTTTTATTGGCTAGCATTCAAAAACCCTTCAAATTAATATAAAAGATTCAATGACGTTTCCCAAAAGGAAAGTTATCCGGATATCTAGGCAGGACTGAATTATGAGCAGTGGAAAATTTCGAGTATGTCCGTAAATGAACCGTTTGGCTGGTAACATTTTGCTTGCATTGTTTACTCTTCCCATGATCGAATTTGTGTACTCCGAGGTCACGTCAGTCGACAGTATGTGAACAAACTGCATACATACAATACTCTTTAGGGCAGAATCCCTAATTTAAGCGCTTTCCGGGAGTCTTGGCTGAAAGTGACTATAATCTATTCTTCTTAAATTCGCTGATACTGTAATTGATGAGATTAAAATGCACTGAATTTCAACAGTGTTATTTCTACCGTGATAAACACATTTGCAGTGAAATGCACGATATGCAATCGGTATTCGACATACAGTTTAAAGTGACAGCACTGGAGTACACCATGTGTTATAAATTTAATGAGACTGAAAATTCTTCATGCATCACCAATGAAAGCTAATGTTTGTTTGAAATGACTAACAAATATCTGACCAGCAAATTACTGGTCAAATTATACTCACCTCAAATCAGTGCTGAGAAGTGACTCCCATTATCATGCCTCTTTAGGTAACACACATGTGTACTGTACCACGCTAAAATTTATAACACTATGAACAAGAAATTCGTAGTTGTGAGTGTACACGAGTAGAAGTAATATTACTGGATGGCTAATTATACAAATGTTTATGATGTCTCACTGAACTGATGTGTTCACTCGGATATCGAAAGGCTAGTTTCGGTTGAGAATGTTTCGCCTCTCTTCTTTGTCAACATCTCTAACATGGACAATTTCATCTGACACAGTGTATGTATAAACAAAACGGGCAACTTTTCTGCCTAATACGTGTAGCGCATTCATATTCTCTGAGCAGACGTGTGACTAGCACCATCGTCCAGAATTATTCAGAACATTAATGGCTATCAAACTATACTAGTACATTGTCGCGATGAGTAATGTTGATGATATATATATATATATATATATATATATATATATATATATATGCTAAGATGTAAATCGAACAGCTCACTCAAAAGAACGCTCACTCATTTTACATACCAAAGCAGTAGTTTCACATAGAATCGATAAGAAGAAATCGATATTGGCTTCTTCAGTGTGCATTTGTGACTTCAAATGTCCCTTTGGAGCTGTTGGTATTGACAGTACACTAACGACTATGCCGATTCGTGCATGTGTACACGTACTCGAGTGATTAAATAGAGAAAGAGCTGACTCTAACAACAATGCCGTTTTCTTCCATGTGATAGAAAAAACACACCACATTAACAAATTCGAAATCAAACAAGAGCCTGTATAATCACTGCCCTTTCAAACTTCGCGCGGTAGCCGTGTTTTTCATTTTGGGCTATTATAGCTTAGAGCCACTGTTGAAAATTTGAAAGACATCGCCTTTGGCAATGATACTTTAACTTCGCCTGGTGCACTTCTGTACACAACCCGGTCACACCATACACATATGTTGGGGGGGGATGAGGACATGTAACAATTCCAAACTTGCCAGCGGCCTGCAACCAGCAGCGACGTTCCAACGATCAAAATATTTTGCTGAACTTGCGCAAACTTCATGATTTCTTGATGGTCCCATCACTTCAGAAATGTGGATTTTGACACGATTTATCTCCTGAAATGCTACAGCTCTAGTCAATGAAATTATAAGAGGTAAATTACCAAATTACGGTGTAAACGTAAGGTTCGTAGAGGAGGAGTGGAGCTACTCAGACCTCGAGGAAGAAGAGTTGTTGCAGCTGTCTCATGAGAAATTTTGTCAGGTATATTCCGAAGGATACACTTGTACCCCTCCTACTTATCTAGAATCTGGTGTGTGACCCTACTTGGTGTTATGAATGCCTTGATCAGACCACACCTGACTCCGATGGAGATGAGGGCATGCAGCTACATGATTCATATTCGTTCAGAGCAATATTATCACATTTCAGCGTTTCAAATCAACACCAAATTTAAACACATACACCAAGAAACTTTCTGTCACCCATTTATAAATACGATTGCACAGACTTGGAAGAGACACTGATGCGAATGGGAGTTTCTTCTCTTAGAAGCGTCAGTGTGTGGTTCTCGTGGACAGGGTTTTGATCCCCCTACAGCGAATACTTTTCTATACTGTAACTTATTTCTTACAGTGGAATTCTGGTTAGCTAATTCTGTTCCATGGTGGCTGTTTTGTATTTAGAAAACCAGATGGACTGCATACCTGCCTAACGTTGCTTTAGAGGTATTTTTGATTTTTTGGTATTATTATTGTTGGAGAGAAACACAGATTTATGAAATATCCATCGTTCATGCTCTCTGTGAAGAGCCAAATATAAACTTACACACATTTCTCCAACTTGACAAAGATAAACCTGTTTTATTCAGTAGCCAATCCAGTACTACAATTCACTACTCACTAAAAGGAGAGGATAGCAACTCGAGAGACGTAGGTTAACATGATAATGGTACTAGTTGTAACACGAGCTCGTCGCGTCACGCGAAACCACTCGATTCCGAACCACACTTGAGCCTAGATAACGAACACAAATGCTTCAAATATTATTTGAACCGTCAAGTTCACCCTATCCTTTTTCATGCTAGATTTATCCTAAACAACCGACGATGTTCAGGGCACATGCACTGGTATATAAATCCCTTATAATCACCATTACTGGGTCATGGTGTCACTCTGATATACCAGACGAAGAGATAAGCATGGATAATTACGCACACTTTCGGTGTGACAGGAACATTGGTAAGGAAGTAGGCTGTTTTATGTACTTCCTAAGAACACTCACTGTACTACAGCTAGGAAATATGGAACTCGACAACATGCACGGCACTCTACTGGTCAACGCACATTTTACAAATGCTACAGTACTAAGTGGGTGCTTTTAATGAGGGCCTGACACCTTCAGTTATCAGGAGACTCAAATTAATAATTCATTGGAGCCAGCGTCCTCTCTCCCTTAGGACCATAGGATCATGTATACAGACTTCAACCTACCCGAAATCAGCTGGGACTTATTAACAACCCCAGCTAAATATGACAATCTCTTGGGTACACTGGACATTTTCGGCTGGAAACAAACTGCCACTATCCCGACAAGAGATGACAACGCACTA